TGTGTAATAAGAAGATAAATATTAATTTTAAAGGAAGAGAGGAAAAAAAATTACATGATAATATATTTGTGGATCATAATCCACTTGAAAAATAAAAGGAGTCGAAAGAAATATAATAAATAAATTGCAAACTAACGAGAGTAAAGTGTGAGATTGGATATGTTCTTTTAATGATCTCCCTACTTTTGGAATGATCAAAATGACTGTAATTTCTGAAGCATAGGAGCAGAGAGATGTGAATGATTGAGAGCGATTTTGACAGTCCTTTTATTGTTAGCATTTCAATCCTATTGTTGCTATTATTGAACACACTGATGATGTCCATTCTCAAGCATATTCTATTTACTAATGAAAATTTAATTATTTGCTTCTTAGAAGTTAGAAACGAGCAATTTTCAGAACTTATTAGTCTTGTAAGCTGAGGTTTATAAAACGGACTTGATTCGAGAAGTAATTCCTCATTAAAGAATTTTTTAAAATAATTAATAGAACTAGTCTAATAACTTTCAAGATGTCAATTCCGGCAAATTCCTTTTCAAATAAATTTAGTGGCTTTATAGCACACGAATTGGACTTAAGAATTCACATAAAATAATGGAATTTAATAGCACCATAAATCTCAAGCATAAATTTTAAAATGTTTATTCAACTCCAACTCAATCATTATATCATACAGGCATATGAAAAATCGAAAGCGAAAAAGTGATTAATGTGAAGTTATGGAGCCCCCTATTGAGATATAATTCGCATTATAAATTTGCACAATATTCTCTCTTTCCATCTATCTTTTCTTCATTGCTCTCCATTAAATCAGCAAAATAATCAAGTTAAGAACCAGCGCGAGCCCAAAAACTTCCTTTCTCGTTCCATCGTCTGATCATTAGCAATTTACTTATTGTGAACAATTCACATTACAATGCAATAGAAGAAGAATAATAATAAAGAAATTGAAACTAGAATAAAAATAAAAGAAGCAAAGCAAAAAAAAAGAACATTGGAAGTTGATTTTTAGCTCATTTACAGATTCATAAACTTAACAATTGTATAATGATGTTTATTAAGAAATCTTTTAGCGGCTTTATATTCTCACGTAATTTACTTACTTCAAACAGACAGACAAGGAAGACGATGTGTAAAAAAGTGTTAATCAATAGCCAAACAATTTTCAATAGGATGAATAAGTGGAAAAAATAGCTCAATTACATTTTTATTGTTTTATTCTAATTTTTGTTGTCATTCTTATACTTGTTTATTGCTTATACATACTTTTGGTTAATTTTTACTTTTATTCTACCTTTTGCGAAATTAAGGGAAGAAGAATAAAAGAAAAATATTTTGGCAAACTGGTTCTTCAAATTGTTTCTTTACGCATTGAAAAGAAAAAATAAAGAATACTTGCCTTTATTGATTTACGATATAAGAAATTCTATAGCCATGGGGATAAAATTGTATCTAACTATGTGGAGATGGTTGGACAATAAACTCTAATTTAGACAAAAAATCGCATTAACGTTCTTCACATAAATATGAATAGTTTGGAAAATCAATGTATACGTATGTAGCATACACATATCTAATTGATTGTGCGTGTGAGACGGAATCTTGATGAGATGAAAAATACACACATGATGATTAAGAGAAAAAACTATTTCTTCATGGATATTAGCATGGACATTGGAATGTTCAGCCTCACATATGCTCACTAAACTTAACCAGCAATCAATATTTTCGGCAAAAATTTCTAATGACTAAGATTCATGTACAGATAATAACTAGCTGAATAACCAACTCTTAAAACAAAGCAAAAATAATCCTAATCATTCACTATAATTTGCATTTACGCAATTGCCTTAATTGCACTGCTCTTTATTCGCCGCTTATTAGTTCTTACATATCAGCATTATGTGTTTTTATATCGTTCAGTTCTTTAAATAGTTTTAAAAGCATTAAAGATTGGGAATTTCATTGAAAAAAATAAATAAAATTCACAGAAAAGAGCGATAAGCGAACAATTTAGCTAAATCATTCTTGCTGTGCAGCTCTCCTTCTTGCCTTTTTTAAATCGAACCGCGAAATCACAATCACTAGGCACAACACATGAGAATGTGGAAGTTTAGAAGAAGAAAACTTTCTTAGAATTGGCGCCAAATTGCAACCAGTTTCAGGTCTTTGTATGTATTTTAACGATTTTCAGTTGAATTGATTTCTTTCTTCACCTTTTTTTTTCCTTTTTCTGGAATAATTAGGAATATTGAAATCTTCTTGTCTTGAAAAATTCGTTTCATCAGTACCTGACAGAAATAATGGTTTCTGGATTTCACGATAATTACAATAGCAAACACGAGTATGCATGCTTAAAACATAATCATAACATTTTGATTACCATCCATAAACTACCTGAAGATAAATGCAAATATCGATTAATCGGCAACATTCAGGCACAATAAAGATGCTGATAAAGAAATTCGTTAAAAGACGGTTAATCTAATTAATTAGAATGTTGGAGAGAAAAGAAAAAGCATTTTTTTTCAAAATAGAATGGAATAAAAGATTTAAACTTTTTGTTTTGTGCCAATTCTTCTTTTATTGCCCGAAAATTGTGATTTTTATGGCATGTTATATGCTCCTTCTTGTTCTATTTTGCAAGAATAAAACAAGCTTTTATAACGAGATTTTTATATTGGAGATCTTAATTCAACATGTGTGGATACTTAAATTATCATTATTACCTTCAATTGCCTCTTTAAATTCGCGAATATTATTATTGAACAATTGACACCTTTCAATTTCTTCGTTGTTCTTTTTCGTATTTGCGCCACTGTGGTAGATAATTGAATGCTACACATGAAAAAAATGGATAAAATAAGAAAAGAAGAGAATAAAGTTTATGGTCGTTTTGTTGATTAATCGGTAGCCGTAAATGATTCTCTCTTCATTAATTGCTATATTTATGTTAGCGTGCGCAAATATTTGAATAGATCACACATAGCGAATTTCTAATTGTAATGCTTTAAAGTAAAAAATTTCTATTGAATGATAAATGCTTTCGGTGCTTGAATACAATAATACAAATTATATTAACTTCATATTAAGATTTTTTTTCAATATTATTATTTAAATATAACTATGCCTTTTATAATATACCATCATTACTTCCAATAGACATTAAATAAATCGCATAATTTTCAAATAAATAATTTTTCAAAATGATAAAATTAAATTTGAAAGAAAATTGGCACTTTTATTTCATTAAGGAACAAGGTATTACATAAGGGTTCAAATTTTCAATAAATTATACATTTCTTTTTAAAATCTTCAAGCAAAATAAAAATACTTGCAATAGTCAAAAGATTCTTTTGTTAAAAATTTGCTAGGGTTACAAAAAATTGATTTCTATGCAAAAAAAATTAAGGTTTCAATATTTTTTACGCTTATAAGGGTTAGAAAATGTCAATCTACGTTTCTGTAAACCAAATATCGATTTACGATCCTGCAGCAATAAATTAATAGGAGAGCGATTAAATCAGAGACGTTAAGAAATTGCAATTCTTTATGACTTATCTCAAATGTTCACCTTTTATGATTGAAGTCTTAGGTAATTTCTTACCCTTTTTGCCCTTGTCTGTAAAATTTGCAATGTTTCAAAAGTATATATATGTACTTTTTCTTCTTCTTCTTCCACCACACTCATCATTTCTTCATGTGAATTCAAAGTTCCGCACATGTAAAGAAACAGAAAGAGAAATAATAATAGAATCTAATCAGCTGACGAGACAAGGTCATTTCTATCATCTTTATGTGTTTCTTCTTTTTCTGGCTCGTTTCGCAAAATGCATCCTTCTCATCTTTTCATATACGTACATATTTTCATGTTTCTTTTAACTTCTGTATGGATCTTTTCTTTCTTTTCTTCCTTTTGTCGATCCTTCTTTTTTTTTGGGAGCATGTTTGTGTGCGGTTTTTTTGCCATTCCATTCATTTCATTTCAGATTTTATGAATGATCTAAATAGAAACTTGTTGGAATCTGTCTTGAGATCCTTTTTTACACTATTGCTATCTCAGCTGATCTCTTTATGTATGTTTTTCTTTTCTCGATATTGATTTTTGTTGTTTTCTTCATCGCCTTTTTTTTAATTTATGATTTACATAAGAAAAGAATTTTTTTGATGTGTGCGATATTTAACAAAGAATTTTGTATATATGTAAATAAATGAGAAGAGACGAAAAAAGAAGAGAACAAGATTAACGAGAAAAGTAGAAGGGAGATTTTTCGCGCGCTATTTCATTTCATCTTCTTACATTTAAGTCGCTCAATAATAAAATCGGCATTAATCTTTGATTCCTCATTGATTCGTGACTTTGATTTTGTTTCGTGTACATTAAGAATTATTTTCAATATCCTTAAATTGCCCATTTGAAGAATTTGGATGGAATAAAAAAATACAAATTACATCCAATTGTGTAGCGCGTCTAGGAGAGAAGTGAGAAATCAAGCCATATAAATAAGAAGGATCATCAGCATCTTTTGTGGAAGGAAAATTTGAAAGAATTTGATATAAAAAGTAAAAACATATATTAAAGGAAAAAAGTGAAACCCCAAAAGATTCTTTAGTTCTTCTTTTTCTCTCTTCCATCATTCTTTTGTATTTAATACATGAAGATAATTCACATATACATAAATACAGAAATGTATGAGGATGTTCGAGCCCTACTTATTTTATTATTTTTTTGTTCTGTTCACACCACCACACATACACATCCTTGACGAAACGAATGCAGCATAAAACTCATATACGATCGCCTTATATTAGTCATTCGTAAAATAGCTCTCATTGATACAACATCTGCTCTTTCTTGTGACTTTTATTTATGAAACATTAAAAAACGAAAATTAAAAAAAAAATATATAAATATTGTTGCCGGTTGCTTCATCGATAGTTGATAAAATAAACTATAGTGCAAATTATATAATAAAAAGTTAAATTAATAATAAAAAAAAATAAAATAAAATAAAATTAATAGAAAAAAAAAATCTAGAAAAATGAACATATACGATACAGTTATGGATTTTGATATCGAGTTTTATGATGAAAATGCAAGGTAATTATCAACAAAAATTTTTTTTTTATAGATCATTCCATGATTTAAAAATAAATAAAAAGAAGACATTATAAAAGACAAAATTACTAATCCAAGTTTTTTCCACACAGATTTGGCTCAAATTCACAAGACAATTTCTCATTCTTCACAACAAATAATCAACCATCCAGCCCTCGACAGTGCCCAATTAGTCCTTCACATGATAGTTCAGAATTACTACCAATGATGGATGAAGATTTCGTCGACTTTACATCATTTATCGACAAAGAAAATAAGAAACCATACTCACCCGCAAGAAAACGCTTAAATATGGATGCACTTGCCACCAGCAGTTCTCCAGTTACAAAAAATATTCTCCAACATAGTAGTAATGTAAATATTTCATCGCCGTTCAGATCATCCGGATTAAAAAGAACACAATCATCATTATTTGAGAGTCCAGTGCAGAACAAAAAACTTAAAAGTGAAAACGATCACATATATCTTCAGAACCAACACATAAGAAAACCAATATCAATAATGAATGTTCTCACATCTTCATCTGAGAATTTAAGGAAAAACCGACTTTGAAATTGGTATCAAATTTAATTTGAATATGTACAGTAATATGTGATGCAATGGACTAATTTTTCTTTATAAGAATAAGAAAAATGACAAAAAGCTTTAAGTAAAAATTTAGATTGTAAGATAAAGAGAATTAATTAGAAATGTATTTAAAAAGAATTTTATATTTCATCAAACGATGTGAAAGCATAAAAAATGCAATAAATATTCTATAGCTCTATAATATGATTCAAAAAATTTAAAACTTTATTTGTTGACATTCTTAAAATTAGTTTATTGATTGTTTTACAGGAGTTTAATGTTTACATTCGCAAAGTTATTTTTTCGAAACATTTGAGATTTTATTAAAATATTCAAAGTTTAGTGACTGATCTATTAGTCTCGGAACCAGTATAATTGCAATCACGAGTGGTGATTTTTAATTTTTCGCAGACAACTTTGAGATGGGGATGATTTTGTATTTATTTGACGTCTGTCAAAAAAACATGATTTTTATAACCCCCCCCCCCTCTGTCACAAAATTTATTTGAAAAAAAAATTCATTTGTTAGAGCCATCACAAAATCTTAGACCTCCCCCCCCTAAATGTCGGACGTCATGAGTGATAGACCCCTTAGCAAATTTTACCGTGATTTTCCACACAATCACCCCTCTAATGCCAAAATGACTAACGATGCACATCATTTATAAATGATCCCCAGAAAACGTAAACAAAATCTCACGTTACCCTTAAGAGGTTAGGTTTAAATATCCTGAACACCGTCTTGAGTCTTATGTTTCTAAGAACTACTAGTATGCATCAATGTACATAAGAAACCCCATGAGCAATTAAACTGAATTAGCTACTCAAGGAGTTAATAATTCTTCCAAAATTGTAAAAGTTTCTTCAATTGTTCATTTATGGAAATATTTTAAAGCATAACTCATAATTATCAACGAATAATTGAAGAGATATGTTGCATTTGAAAGGGTCAAACTTTCTTGAATTTTCAGTCAATTAATCTCTTGAGAAATCTAATAAAACCTCTAATAAATGGTCAGTGTAATAGGGATAATATAGAAAAATATCACGGACTAAAAAATCCATAAATCTCAAATATAAATAAATGTCTGCATGTTTTTATTATTCGCGCATTTATTTTACGATCGCGACTGCATTCTATGAAGATAAACAAAAGGTCTTCTAAATTTCTTGACCCTATTCTTCTTCTTCGTTACATTTAACCCTTTCATTATTCTTTTAAATGCTGACCATTGTCCATCAGCGATGTTTTCTACACGTCCATCAAGTTGGTGCAAAGTAAACAATTGATTTTGTAAAGTTGATAACATTAGATTTTCATCCTCAGCATGTAAGTGTGATGTAATTCAAGAATATTTTCGCGCGTGTTTTCATGTCTGGTAAACAGATGATGTTGATGATGACCGACCCTCCATAACAATTTTTCCAGATGAGAAGGCCTGAATGTTGCTTGAATGATTAGAACGTTTGCTGAATTTTTGCTTCGTAAAATAGTCGTCACAAAATCAACCAATTTTTCTTTTCGTCCTTTTTCTTCCTGTTTTTATTACAATTGCAAAGCCATATGTTTACCATTCTGCACCACTCTAGTGCAGCAGAAAGTTTCTTTTCTACTTCTTTTTCTTCTTGCGTACAAATCGGAAACAATAGGAAATAATTCCGGAACAAAGTATAATCATTTTACTTCTTCTCTGTTTCTTTATTTAGTGACTGACTAAGGAACAGTAAAAAGTTTCTTTACCAAGTTAGGAAGAGGGTCGAAAAATAATAAACAAAATTCGTGATTTATTAAGCAACAACATATGCTTTGATATTACATTTGCAGTTGTCCTTCAAAAATCTTCCATTAATTTGACAAAACTGATTGCCAAAAATCTTGAAACAAAGAAGAAAAAGTTTTAAAAACCCGCGAAATTACTATTTAATACATGTGCACTTCCTTCTTTTTAAATCTACTTAAGATGTCTACAGGAATATGAGAAGGGTTGAAGAAATGAGATTTACCACACACAGGAACAACAAAATCTTACTTTAAATTCCTGAAAAATAAGAAGAAGAAAAGTTTAAAACCCAAGCAAATAGACTAGGTAGATACAATTAGCTGCACATATTTGTAATTCCTTTAAAGGGGATGATTGGCGCAATTTTCACCAGTTGACATCAGCTGTATGCATAATGAGATCTATATTATAAGTATAAGTTCCGTTTTAGAATTGCAAATGATAACAGTTACGAACAAATTTATTTCTTCCCATATTCCATTGATACTTGATTCATTTTTGCATATCTCAATCAAATCATATGAAAGAATCATGAAAGAACTGTTATTTGAATTGAATGAGATGAAATGCATTTAAATGCAAATTAAATTCTAACGTATTTTAAAATTCATCTCTTCTGTATGTTTCAGAAAGTAGAATATCTTGATGTTGGACTGGATTTCCAAATATTCTTCTTTGCCCCAGAACTAGAATTGTAGCGTCTTTAAGAAGGGTCATATACGGTTCACTTCTAGAAAAGGGTCGATCTATTTGCAAAAAAAGAAGCATAAAACAGAAAAAAAAACTTATAGAATGATAAATATGCAGGTAATGAAAATTTGATATGGTTTTCGATCTTCTTGATATTTTGATAGACGAGAAAGAAGAAATCAAGACTCTATGACATTCATAACCGTCAAAAGAGAGAGGAACAGGAAAACGATTCTTTTTCGTTTTAATATTCTTGAATTTATTGTTAGTGCAGTTGCTATGTGATGTTTTAGTAGTTATTTGCAGTCAACTCATAAACTTCCTTAGCTTGTTTCCAAAAAAAATTACTTAATTGACTTAAGAGATAATGAAGAATAAGTAAAAATTGTGTAGATTTTACTAAAGGGATTAATTCTTCATGCAATAACTTTAAACAAAAAGTAGGTAAAGATTTTAAGGAAATCAATTGGCATCATTCCTTTATTATATTTGAGTAAATTTTGATTTTATTTGTTTAATAAATCAGATGAGAAACTTGAAATTTCGATGCGTGACTTATTAAAATTTACAAATCAGCTTTAGATGGATAGAATCATAAATGTGTGAAAAACATAAAGCTAATAAAAATTTGTTTTTTGAAGAAATAAAAATATTATATTTAAGTAAATAAACATGAGAAAATTTCAGTTGGCAACCTTAAAATTATTTTCATCTATCGCATTTTTTTGCATCTGCCATGCATGAAGTTAATAAACAAGATAGAGAAGAAAATTTGTTCCTATTTTTATCCTTGTCTTGATAGCGTCAAAACGTAAGGGGTTCTATTTTATTTTCCATTCCTCATCACCTCAAGTAAGTGAGTGCAGTACGAGAAATTTTACTTAAAAAACACAGGGATCCTTTTCAAAAGACTTGCTTTCTTGTGTACACGTCTTAAATGTATATTTTTTTCCATCTTCACATTAAAATAAATCCCTTCGTCAAGCATTGATAAGTCTCCTATCCATTTTCTCCTTAGTTTTAACATGATCAAGGGAAGTTTAACAATATATGCTTAAATAACAGAAATTTTACAAAATATGATATTGAAGAACATAACTCTTATTTATGTGCATCTTCTTAATGATAATTTCAATTCATTCGTTCCTTCAATGACTCATGAAAAATCTATTTATTTATTGATGATGAAATATTTTTTTTTCGATTAAAAAGGAGAAGAAAATCCTTTCAAATAATTAAATTAATGGCCTGCCGATTAGATTGACGGAATAAAGCAAAGGATAATCGAAGACGTGATGCATTAAGTGTGTCTGATAGATATTCCAAAACATGAAACAAAACACAATCTATTTCATTAGAAATTTACATGGTTACAAAGAAATGAACTACAACAAACTGATCATGTCTTGCATTCAATATTTGTTCGATGACAAATTCTATTTTGAAACACACATAAAGTGACTCCGCGCGAATGATGCATGCATGTGTTTGAGGGTAGTAAAAATATATATCGTTCGTTTCATAACGTTTATTCTTCAATCAACACAAGAAACTAAGAAAAGATTATTAAAGTGGAAGAATCAGTATTGCAGAATTCCGTTACCATAAATTTTTCCGTTCCCTCTTCTCATTCTGGGAATGGTTAAAAATAAGCATTTAATAAAGTTTCTTATTTTTTATCAAAACAAATAAAAGACGACATATGGATGATGGTGATGATGATGTGAAAAATATAATAAATAAATATCCATATTCATAAACCGACCGCACACAGCAAGAGAAGGAACAGAAATTATGAAATCCAATATTTTTATTTGAGCTTAATTGAGTGTCTCATATTTAAATATTTGCTCTGTGTTCTTAAGGAAATCTCGTCTTAAAATAATGTTATGAATGCCACTTGCCATATTTGCAATATTTATTGAAGTACTAAGTTTGTCAGAAGATGAAAAAATAGTTCCCAGATAATGCACTTTAATTTATTAAAGCGTAAAAAGCAGCAAGAATTATTGGGCGCCAATAGTTGCATTGTTTATAAAAAATTAAATTCCCATTTCTTTGCCTAATAGCCAGACATATAGAGAAATGAATCTAGTTACGCTCTTTGAAACTGATTGATGCTGAAGTTGCTTTTTTTTTATTTTGTTGTTTCACAATTTAGCAAAAACTAGTTTTAAAAAGTTTCTAGGAAATTGTAAGATAACAAAAAGAAGGAGAAGGAGAAGAGAAAATTTATTTTTCAATGTTTTCTCAAGTAATTACATATTTAAAAGGATCTTTCTTATATTGAACAATAGTTCTTTTTTACCCATTTCGACCTCCCATTGATGTGGCTAGTGACTCTGCAAAAAAAAGTCTTTAAATTTATTTAAAAAAATAAAATAAATTAGAAAATAAAATGTAATGAGGATTTTTTTTAAATAAGAAACCCGATATAGTCAAGAGTCTATTAAAGAGAGCATCCTTAACAAAAAGAACAAGGAAAAGATTGATTGTAATTTTGCTGTTATCGATCATACTTTATTCTTTTGGTTTTCATTCTTTTGGCGGGAATTTTGCGATCTCTGTTGGATACTGTTGTGCATTTATTGCAGCAAGTGTCACCAAAGCGCCATGGATTCCATGTCTACCTGTCTACTTGTACCTCTCATAAACTGATAGCACACTGTGAATTCCCATGCATAAATTATCACACAAGTCTCATAAAGTCGAGGCGTAAAAATTCTCAAAAATATGCAAAAGAACTAGAGTGACAAGAAGGAAGTCTTATGGCCCATAAGTATTGGCATTAATTGACAGAACGTATGTGGTATTAATATTGCAAAAGTCGAAACCAATAATCACCATGTCAAATAAATGGACACTCTTAAATATACCCGAATATGCTAAAACAAATATTTCACTTTAAAGTGACAGTTCTAAGGATAGATGTTTATCGATTATCAATTTTCAAATGAACGGCAGCAAAAGTGGAACATCTTTGAAGTTTGAGATATTTTTTTACTAGTTTTTGCGGCATTTTGCGATGAAAATTAAAGGTCGAGTGACTTTCTAAAGAATCATGATGTACTTTAATGGATCTGACGCCCATACAACATCATTTTTAACCTGAAAATTGGACAACCATCAGACAGAGAATTTGTTTTGTGGAAATTTTCAATCATCTGATTTCGTCTTTTTAAAAATATAAAAAAATTAAAAAATATTGCACTCATGAGAAAAACAGATGACGAAGGATGGCAAGTAAAAGATTTCAGGTCCTTTTAAATCTCTTCTCGAGATTCCTCATATTTCAACATGTTGCACAAGTCCATAACTGAAAATTCACTTGTAAAATTTATGCTCTAAGATTGCCGACCATCGTTGCAGCCAGTCTTTTTAATTTTTTAAAATGTAAACTGATCCATTAGAGCAACGCAAAATTCCGGATGTTGTTCATTGCTTAAAAGAGGATTGTATGGTGCCTCAAGGGAGGTTTTTAAGTAATTTATGCAAAAAGTTATGAACTGCCATATGACAAATAGCATAAATTTTATGGTTTCTTGTCAAAAACGAAATCCAAGTGGATATATAATTGCTTCTGATTTTTTGGCGCGAAGTCTATGTTTAACTGATGGATGCTAATAGATTTGTTACAGAGATTTTGAAGAAATACAAAAATATAATATTTTGTTGTCCCAGAAAATGGGTCTTATTTGTAAATCTTAAAATATTCTAACCACAAATTCTTCTTATTGTCAAAATCTCAAACCTATAATTCATCAGGTGTGCCTCCAATTCGAATCCTGTTTTGGCACAAGCCAGAAAACAATAAAAAAAAACGGCATACAATAGATCACCTACAACTACAAAAAGATTCTTGCTACCTTTTTTTTAACAAAATATTTTTTTTACCTGTTTTACTTTTCAACAGAATTCATTCGAAAGGAAAATTGGACAAAAAATGGCTAACAATAAAGTGATTATGGATGTAATTATGCATGCAGAATTTTATTTTAAATGGCATTTATGGAAAAAAAAATCAGTTTAACATTTTGCGCGCCAAAATAAATTGCTTAAGCAAATTAAAGTGTATTTTTGTCCCAATTCCTTATCAGTTCTAATCTTGTTACAATCACGTGTGATATTTCGAAGTTATTCACATAAATAATAAGTCAATGGCATGTAACCATTTATATTTTATTTGTCTTTATAAAGAATAAAAAAAAAATGTGTAAGGAGCAAGTAAAGGCTCCACATGAAATCTTTACATAACATTAAACCTGTTTTATAGACGATACAGAATGAAATGAACATCAAAAATACAACAAAAAAAAAGCCTTTATAGAGAATATATGGTAAAGCCTTTTTGTGAAACATACTTTTCTTACTGATATGTAAATGGTCCGCTGTAAAACGTTTTCTTTTGATGGCTCTTCTTGCTTTATTTTATTCTTTCTTTAGAACTTCTTTTTCTGAGACTGGACGATATTTCTTGCTGTATTTGTACGTATATAATTATGTATGTATACATTCATGAGGGTTTATTGTTGTTTCGGTTGAGAGAATGTTTTAATGAAAGAAATACAGAAATCACCATAGAGTTGCCTCAGAACATAGTTCAGAAATTTATGACCGCAAGCAATAGAATGAAAAGATATAAAGAAATTACAGAAATAACTTTTGAAGAAAAAAAAACCCTTTTACTGCTATTAAAAACGTGAGGCTATCCAACAAATTATGGTTTTTCAATTTACTCAATGCTTACCTGTTAACTTTGATATAAAATACAGACATGCTAGAGCTATTTTATACATACAGTACGATAAATCACACATTTAATTCCATTACGAACAGTTTTAAGTCCTTTTTTATCATTTAAAATTGAAGAAATATCTAATCCTTTTATACTCTTACTCACAATAAGTCTCGGCATTTTTGAAAGTATGAAGGAACTATAAATTCCTATTACAATAATTGATAATATTTAAGACATTTTTTTTAAAACATTTTTTAAGTAAAGTTCATTGATCGGAAGAAGAATTAGGTATTTCCTCCACATAGTGTCCAAACAAATGTGTTAATATGTAAATTCCAAGACTTTACAAAACTAATTAGCAATTCCAGAAGCCCCGTCATGAAACCCTTCAAAAGGTATCGTGATAAAATTTTCAAACTCTCCTTAACATTTTAATTTATTACTATATATGCTGAGTATTCAAAATCTAAGATGTAAAATCAAATAGAGAGATATGTATTTAGAAAAGAAAAATCAGTTGAGCATAATTAATGATGTAAAGCGCTTAAGAGTTTGAAGGGATATCTTCATATTTCTTCTACGAAAAATATTCTATTGCATAAGATGATTTGATTGATTCAATTCCTTATTTTTTCATAGAAAATGTTATCTGAATGGGAATGTAAGATCAAGTCAAATTGATTGGGTGACGAAGATAAAAAGGACATGCACTAACAATAATAAATATCTTTTTATAAAGTACGGTGCATTTGATTGTATTTATAGGCGCTTTTTTAAGATTTTTTAATGAAATATACATTTATTTCTATTTATTATTCTAGGATGGACCTAAAGACGGAATAAAGAAAGATTGATAAAACATAAGCTGAAAAGAACATCAATGGATAGAAAAATTTAACAAGTCACTGTTTATTGTTCATCTCAATATTTTTCAAAGAATCATCGTCTTCTCTTAAAAAAAAAGGACTAGCTTGAAAGATGAAAAATCAAAAATCATATTTCATGCTGGAGTCAGACAATAGCTGATGGATTATAATATGTTGAATCTCACCTCGATTCATAATTTTTAACTCCACCATGAAGGCTTTAAATTACTTCTTTTATTGTTATTACAAAGATAATGTTTCAAAATTCTTTCGAAAATTCTGATTGTGTATACATATGAAGTCCAACACTACATAAGGATTGCATAATAATCGCATCGAAAAATTTCCACTTCTTCTTTCCGTTTTTTTTTTTTTACTTCAAAACCTGTTTTGATTTCCTTTCTTATGTGACTTTTATGCTGAACACATCAAAGAGTGGAGCATAATTGAATTCGCATACTTTTCTTCTTCCTCTTTTTTATCGTGCAAGATTTTTTTTTGTGGTTTTTGCTTTTGTTTTTTAAAGAAATTGTCGGTGTCATTAACCTTGTGCGTATGGGAATTATGGTGCAGTGCTTCAAAAATTGCAATTATAATAAAATTTTGGAATTACTGGAAACTTTAAAATGTATTCCTTAGTTAAAGAATCTAAACTGAATTCTCAAAGATACTGCATTTAGAATGAAGCTTAACTAATTCCAAAATTTTTCAACGGTAACATTTATTTGCACTTGAAATCTTCTGGTTCTCTTAGAAAAGCCCTTTATTAGATTCAGTCCCTTTCGTTTCTTAAACTTATTTCTGTCCCATCGCATTTGAATACAAAGCATCCATTCCCATAAAATATAACGCATATTTATATCTAGTCTAAGGGGTATTAGAACTAATCTTTAGAAAGAAAAAAATTCCTAAACAGGACAGCAAGAAAATTTCCTTTTGTTCCTCAACCCCATTTGATTATCAAGTTTCAAGAAAACATTAGATAAATTACTCAAAATAAGTTCTCAGATGTACAATAATTATTGTCAATGTATGATTTGAGAATTTTTTTTATAACTGATCTTAATATGCAGGACATTAAATTTATAGCGGTGAAAAAAAAAAAGAAGAAATATCTTTATATTCTGCAGTTAACAGACATGTTTATCTTAAAAAGGGGTACAGAAGGTATATAAATCTGTCTAAGTTTAAGAGATGAGTGCATTTCTTGACGGTGAAAGTCCTTTGTGACTTTAGGCCACTTTTATTTGGTCTTAATGTCCCTTCTATTTTCAAAGTTAATTACGTGATTCAGCATTAAAGGAAATGGACCAGTTAAGGATGCTTCAACAAAGTAGAACGTGAGATTGTTATGACAATGAAATGATTTATGCAAATTAGACATCCTTAGTGAAAGTGAAGCTGATGTTTATATAAGAAAAGTAATAGAGGATATTACTCGCGTAAGGAATGGAATGAATAATAAAGAAAAAGTTTTGACCCTTTTATGAAAAATTGCTTAATAATAGACTTGCTGATCATAACAAGTTGGAATTGATTTTTTATTTTGTTTTTAATCAGGAGTTATAAAATTAGACAATATTAAAATTTTCATTAAACTGCCGTAGCTGTTATGGTTGCCATGTGTTGAAAAATTCAGCTATGGGCTCAAGATAATCTATTTGCCAATTTAAGTTTACTCTTGCTGATTCTCGCAATGCAACAAATTGATTAATTGTTATCCCACCATTAACGACCAGCATGGTAATCAATTGTTCAAATTCAGTGAAAAGTTTTTCAGATCCGATGTACATTGCAACATTTGTAAGAACATTATTTATCGTATTTACACTTATTCCTGACATTGCTACGAAATTTTCTCTAGTAAATTTCATCATTATGCGAATGGCATCTTCTCCATTTGATGCTGATTGCGTCAAAATTCTATTTTGTTCTGTTGTTGATAGTTCAATGCCAGGAAGAATAGCTAGATTAAGGAAGCTGAAAAGCAAATCTGTATTTTGTGTACATCCTAAACCAGCAATTATTCGTGTTCTTTCTGCAGTATCGGTCGTTTGTAATAATCGATTTTTCATTGAAAGAAAATGAAGAACATTTGCAGTACGCATTCCATTGCAGTAAATCAACTGGACATATTCAGGTGCTATTCTCTTACCAGTTTCAATAAATGCTATCAATTCATTGTTTGTTTCTCTGAGACATTCTTCCAATTGAGCCCCACATGCTAATGAAATGATTACAGACCTTCCATAGCGATCAATAAGTAATTCGTCATCACGGAACTCAACTCCAAGTTTATTGAAGTATCTTGCAGAATTATGTCTAATAAATCTTTGATATTGAGAGTAAACACTTGAGCTCATTAACCAACGATTAAGAGAAGTTTTTGCACGATTAGAAACAACCCAAGGAAAATAGTCGGTTTCTTGCCACATATAGTTCATCAATCCAAAAATCATTCCATAATTCACTCGTTCAGCTCTTGCTAAATGGAATGCGTCATCAATCAGTTGAGCTCGATTCCTTACATGAATAACATTATAATCTAAATTTAATTGTTCAATAATCAAATTCCAAAGCCCTAAATCATAGTTGACTCTATAATAGTATGCTTGCTGTATATTTAAAATAATCCAATCGCCTTGACTCCACGTTTTGGTTATAGATGATGGCTGCAATGTATAAGTTCTTTGCGCTCCCCAAAATTCCATTGCTAATGTTGATGAAAAATCGGGATTTGATGCAGTTGCATAATTGATTGGAATTGACCAAATATTACTGGATATTGTATTTTTGTCATAAAAGAATCTTTCTTGTGAAATCTCAAGTTGCCCTGCAAAAGTTTGAGTAACAGTTATAATAGGAAATCCAGCCTGATGTTCCCATGTGCTCATCATTTCTGCTACATTGATAGGATTAATACTTGGATACGAATCAATACTGCGTTGAATAGCTGCATAAAGATGACCAGAATTTGCAAAATTATCAAAACGATCATGAATAAAATTGCGCTCTCCATTCTTCCAAATTGTGAATCCAAATGCATGCATAAATGTGTGAAGGACACTTCCAGCTATTAAAAAAAAATAAGTTTTTAAAATTTTTAATTTGAGAATTAATTGTCTGTGCTTTACCCTTATTATAAGCGACCCAATCAAAAAGAAGGTCAATCGATACGGGATCTTCAACATAGTGTGACATTGCACGAATATTTGGATTAGCATCAACTTGTAAAACTGGATGCATCACATCAACTAAAAATAAGTCATCATATCTTTCCTCAGGATAAGTAAAATGAGGCAAAAAGTGTTCGTAAAGCGTGGCAAATCCTTCATTTATCCACTGAAAAAGAAAGCAATCACTTAAAAATTAAAATTAAATTTGAGGACTTTAATATTTACCAAATATGTCCACCACTCAGGACAGACAATATTCCCAATCCATTGATGCTATAAATAAAATTATTTATAAACTAGTGTATCGGGTAGAAACCCAATTCGGATTTTATTCACACCGTACTATCATAAGTCTTATGGATAGACCAAGATTTGCCCATCATAAGTATGAAGGTATGAAGCTTGATAAGTCAACTAAGCTTCGCTCAGCATAAGTTTGAAGTTATAAAGCTATCGCGTAAGCTGAGCTACGCTCAGCATAAGTTTGAAGATATGAAGCTAGAGAGGCAGCTGAGCTTCGCTCAGCATAAGTTTGAAGTTATAAAGCTATCGCGTAAGCTGAGCTACGCTCAGCATAAGTTTGAAGATATGAAGCTAGAGAGGTTGCTGAGCTTCGCTCAGCATAAGTTTGAAGTTATAAAGCTAGAGTGTCAGCTGAGCTATGCTCAGCATAAGTTTGAAGATATGAAGCTAGAGAGGCAGCTGAGCTTTGCTCAGCATAAGTTTGAAGTTATAAAGCTATCGCGTAAGCTGAGCTACGCTCAGCATAAGTTTGAAGATATGAAGCTAGAGAGGCAGCTGAGCTTCGCTCAGCATACGTTTGAAGTTATAAAGCTATCGCGTAAGATGTTTGAAGATATGAAGCTAGAGAGGCAGCTGAGCTACGCTCAGCATAAGTTTGAAATATAAAGCTATCGCGTAAGCTGAGCTATGCTCAGCATAAGTTTGAAGATATAAAGCTATCGAGTCAGCTGAGCTACGCTCAGCATAAGTTTGAAGGTACAAAGCTTGACAAATATGCCAAATATTCTTTTAAAGTTTTTTAAAAAAAACTTTCATCCAAAGTTGAATTTTATAAAAATCACAGTCAACTTTTGTTTTAAAAAATTCGTAAGAAAGGAAAGTTTTTTGCCATTTCTGAAGCAACGGCTGTTCCTACCTTGCCCAAAAACAATACAGCTCTTCTATAGAGCAGCACGGATCAAATGTAAAAAACTAGAAGTCTCTACGATGTCTCGTTATTGAGATTTCTTGCTGATTAACTTGCTTGCTTGCTTGCTTGCTTGTTTGCTTACAGAAAGCGTATTTTGCGATTTTCTCAGCAATGCCACAACCAATTTGAAATCTGTTTTTTGAAAATGATGTAAAATTTCAGGCACAAACTTTTCTTCTTGCCCTTTTATAACCAATTTTGCTTTCTTTTCTCACAAAATGCGAAAAACTGATTTTTCAATCTGAACAAAACCAATAGATTCACACGTGAAAACGGTGTGAACTGGTGTGAATATAATAAATTTTACAAGCTTCTTTTGTAACAAATGATTTTCGCGCAATTTTCAGTGGTTGGTGATAAGGAACTTAAGATGATTACGTATCTAAAACTTCATAAGTCTCAGACGTAATCAAAAAATGCACACATCCTTATCAATTTAAAGTGGTTTCGTCATTAAATAGTATTTGATAAAAATAAATACAAACCAAAAATTCATGTGCTATTATAGTTATTATGAATTCTTTGTTCCTTGTTGTCCTGATTAATGGATCAAAAAGTAAAAATATTTCTCTGTAAGAAACAAGTCCCCAGTTTTCCATCTGTAAATGACATAATATAGTATCTAAGAAAATAAGCTTGAATTGTGATTCTTACAGCTCCAGCATCAAAATCAGTTATAGCAATTTGGTCCATTTTTGGAAAAGTATAGTTGATTCCAAAATGTATTTCAGTAGTCAACATGATTTGAGGACTAACACGTAAGGCAAGTTCTGCTTCATTATTATGAATTGATTGTGGCTTGGCGTAGACTCTTTGAGGAGGTACAACGGTTGCGTTTTCTTCATAAATGTAGTCACTTACAGTAAAAGCTACTAAATAAGTTTGCATTGATGAAACTCGTTGGAATTTTGTAATTACATATCCATTGATTGGAGCAGGCAAAAGTGATTCAACAGGCATATTTGAAAGTGCTCTATATCTTTGATGATGACGAATTCTGATATCAAAAGATGTTCTGATTTGTGGTTCGTCATAGCTTTTGATAAAAATAATTTTACTGTTTATCAAAATCATACTTGTCTGAAAACTTACCATGGAAATGCATGCCTTGCATCAGTTGCTTGGAATTGCGTCGTTGCAACCCAAATTCTCTTTCCTTCTTCATTGAAGTAACTTGCTCGATAAAATCCATAATCATCAGTCCTTAACAATCCACGATATCTGATGACAACCTTATATCGATTAAACTCAAGCAGCAATATGTGTGGCTTGATTACCAAAAATTCAACCTCTTCTATTTGCTCAAAATCCACATTTGACTCGAGCATATTGCCACTGAAATCGAGTAAATCAATGCTAGAAATTGATAATTGACGGTAGTGAACTGTTATGGTCTCAGATGCTTCAACAACTCTTATGTCAATTGTTACAGTTCCGAAAAAATCGAAATTTCCAAGATGTATGTCAGTTAACAAAGAAACGTCATAATGAATTGGCACTGTATTATTTGGTAATCGAAATGATAAAGAACTTAAATTAAATTTCGAAATCACCACATCATCAAAATTGAAATCCTCTTCATTAAACCGACTTGGTTTTACTTTTGGACCAGCACTAGCATAATAAATTAAAAATATATTAATCAGCAAAATATATTTTAACCACATCTCGAATTAATGTTACGGCCGATGCTTTAACGTCAAACACTTAATTACAATTGAGTAACTTTCCAAATTTATATTTATACCATTTCCTTACTTATCCTTATCAATGCTTGATAATACCGTCAAAGTAAGATAAACTTCTTATTAGTGCTTAACTGTAAAATTTTTGTGATATGTGGATTAGATAGATAATTGTTAATCTGGAGCTATTAGAAGCAGAAAAATGTCAAGTGGAGGAAACAATGCCATAATGTCTGATCGATAAAGATATTCAAATCATTCTGGATGGTTTAAAAAGAAATCAAGTCATTGCCAATTTTCACATGCAAATTAGATTTAATTATTGATCAACTGATAACTATCAGCAGAAGATATCGTATTCTAAAGTGCATGATCTTGTCATCAGGATTCAATTGGTGAGCAAAATTGAAAATAAGTACAAAGTCTGAAATGAATAAACGAAATTGAAAGTAAAAAGAATTTCCATCTTGTGTGTCTTGGTCTTTATGAAACCAGAAATGATATAAATCCAACATATGGTTATTTTGCCCTGGAATGTCTGAATGAATACATGTGTCTTAAAAAAATAATACTAAATCCATGTATTCACTGATATCAGTTTCTCAACCAGTTATTATTTCTTCATTTAAAGAGAATAAGAAATAATTTCTCAGATTTTATGTGAATCCAATTTTTTGATCAAATTATATCTACTTGATAATTATTCCATTCAAGAGCTCTCCTTTGAAGAATAAGAATTGAAATTCGTTAAATGGACAATAAGAAGACATTTGTTATGTGTGGGTCTGTTTTGAATTTGATTTCGCGATAATTCACATCACATGTGTAAGTATTTGAAGAAATTGACTGTATAAGACACATTCTTAAGATACTTTACTGTAAGTGTATTTGTTTTGGCGCCAAAATTTTCTATCCGGTTTTTGCCGGGTAGCTCTGTTAGAATGAAAAGAAACCACTTCATATTTATATTCATGCCTTATCACATTCGTCTATTCATAAAAAAGCATCTACTTGGGCAATAACTAAAGCGATTTGTGTGATCTAAGTATATAGTTGCAGGAAACCTGATTGACACTCATTCATGATATTTTAAGCTAGAATAAAATTTCAGCATTAAGTATGAATATTAAGTTGATAAAAAATAATATGATCATGGAAGAGAAAGAAAAGGAAACGATTTAGTTCAAATGACATCATCACTGCCACATGCAAAAATTAATGAGAGATCACAGAGCATTTTATTGAGCAAGAACAAGCGTTCTAAACTTCGTTTACAATTTTCACTGCTGGAGGGCAAAAAAACAAATTATTCATTAAAGACAAAATGTTTCTGGGATCATTAACATTAATGTTATCGTCACTGTCTGATACTGGACTAAAAGTTCCAAGTCACTCGAGAATTATAAGTCCTGAAACAAACTGTACTCGGACCTAAAATTACAGAAGAATTTATGTCCACACCGTATTCACGTGTGAATGTATTATATTTGTTCAGATTTAAAAAAAAAAGAGTTTTCGAGTTTTGTGACGAAATGAAGCAAAATATCTGAAAATAGTCCAACAAGAAAAGTTTGTGTCTAAAATTTTAGATCTTCTGCAATTTGAATTGAATTTGAAGTGGTGTAAGCATTACTGAGAAAATCGCAAATTACGCTTTATGATTAGCAAGCAAATCAATTGGTAGAAAACCTCGATAGTGAGACATAGTGGAGACTTCTGGTTTTTTGCATAAGATCCGTGCTACCCTATAGCTGTATTGGATTTGAAGCATCTAATCTTCAAATTATTCCAATGTTCTTTTGGTGGGTTATGTTGTACTTGTTGTTCCTAAATTAAGCAGTCGAAAAATATGAACTTCCTGAATTGAAGCTACCATACCATATTTGAGCAATGTAGCTTATCTTTTCGACCAGCCAAGCACTTACAGCTGACTTTAAACCGCATATGAAACGTTTAAGTTCAATTACATTTTATATCGGGAGTTATAAAACAAGTGTGAAATTCACATTTCTTAAATTATAAAATTTCAAAAATTGTAGGTTTTTAAAGGTTGTTGATTTCCAAAATATTATCAAAATCACTGGCCAATAATACCTTTAATAACTTTGAATAACCAAAAATACAAAAAAAAATCATGCTTATAATTTTTGCGCAACAATTTACTATTTGGACTTATAATCTTTGGACCTATAATCCAGCATCTCATTGCCTTCACTCTCAAATTTTATATCTTCTTTACATGGTCTTTTGTTCTAACTTAAACCTTTTACAGCATGAGAATTCAATGCGTGGGTGCAGTAAATTTATTGCATAAAAATTGTTTTGCTTCCTTAAAGGAATAAAAACCAGTTAAAAGATAAGATTAGTTTGGAAGTGGAAGTGAACATCTTTTATTATTCAATGAATTTGCTTTAAAATAAGAAGATGAAAAAATTGTGTCAAGCCAACACGTAAATTGAAATTTTAAATTGGCATTGACCTAACGTTCCTAAAATCTACATTGTATTTATTAGCATGTAATGATGTGAGAGAGTATATATACATAATATTTTGAAAACTGAAATGATAGCAAATAGAAATGTGACACAAATCATATCAAAATATTTGATGTCCTACACAAGCAGTATAAAAAGATTTATGAAGCAAAAACCAACACAATCAGACATTGCCGTTGGAGTAGCTCTTTATTTATATACATAAATGTGATAATGCGAATATGTTTCAGTTGAATGAGTCAGGAACGAATTTTTGTAACAGATGATTTAGTTCCAAATTTTGTTTACGAAGAAATTCGCACTCGTTTTCGAGAGTCTCGCGTTCTCTAAGTACTTTCAGATAGCGTTGAAGGCCATCTTCAAGAACACCCCACAATTTTTCACGTTCTGGTGGAAATACGAAGGATTCAAAACTTGCCTCGACATCTTTATCATCAATCAAGCGAGTTATTGTAGATTTAGTTTTACTCATTCTCGATGAAATATTTTCCTTGGGCCTGAAAAATTATTTTTAAAAATATTAATCTATGCTTATCAATAGGAAATAATCACATATTTACATTAATTTGTCAAGCGATGTCTCGTGATCTTTTGTAAATTTAACTAATGCTTTATAAACATCAAATGTCGTTATCTCCAACTCGTGATCATCTCCGAGACAATCTAATGCTAATTTCTCAGGATATCCTTCGCTGAATGGAGTTGTTGCACATTTATTGCATTTTGTAAATGGAATAAAGTAACTTTTAATGAAATCAATTTCTTCAGACTTGTATATTCCCAAAGCATTGAAGACAGCATCAAGATTAACCAATGTTTGTTCAGTTCTTGAATAAGGCATTAAAAGATGCTTCAATTTACTTTCGATCAAAAAACCGGAATTATCAGCAATTGCTCGAAAAATAATTCGTAAAAGCTTTTGCTCCATTAGCTCTTGATCACGAGTTCTTTGGATTTTTTCAAAATTTATGGGTACAAGTGTCTGTGATTCATCAATATCTTCACATGAACTTCCTTCAAGAGTCTCGATTGCAGCCTTGTAAGAACTTAAATCTTCTTTTCTGACAATATTGATATTTGGATCCTCCCATTCAATACCTAATTGCTGCTCCCATAACATTCTATCAATTTTTAATACCTGATTTAATGCATCTTCGCATTCCTTAAAATTCATATCCCAAACTGTCATAAATTTTTTATTATTTTGTTCTGCAAAAAGATCACTTTTTCTCTCCAAATCAAGAATCTTGGCATGTAATTTCATTATGTCAGCTGTAAACTTTTTAGTCTCAATTATACAAGTTGATTTTGCTTCTTTTAATTTCCGTTTTAATGAAACAATTGTATCGGCGAGCTTTGAAAGACGACGTTTTTGTTGATTTCTTACCATAACATTTTCATCCTCACGTTTCTTTAGAACTTGAAAATTATAGTCGAGCTTCTCAGAATTCAACATAATATTGCGTTTGAGTTTCTGCACTTCTATTTCCAATGTTTGGTTATCATTTTCAAGTTTAATTTTTGTAGCTCGAATTAGCTCCTCGTGTTCTAACTGAATACGCTGAATTTCTTGCAGATAATACTCTGACTTTTCTGCTTCACGTTTCATTCTCATTTCTTCATTTGCTTCGCGCTTATCATACATCGTTTCCCATTTTTTGGTAGTGATAATTTGAAAGATTTTACGTTCATTCTCAATTGTCTTCTCCAGTATATCCAAATGCTCACGATATGTTCGTTTCATCACTTCCATCTGTTTGTCAATTCGTTCGACCATGCAGCTAATATCATTATTATATTTATCCAGATCTTGTAAATACCTTGTATCAGCTGAATTCAATTCGTCACGACATTCATCAATAATTGTCATTTTACGACCAATGAGCTCATTAATCCTGTCTTTTTGTCTTTGGAGACCTTCATGAATAGACATTGGATCAACATCGTCACCAACTGTAGGCCATTTATGCGATATTTCTTCGAATTTTGCTGAGGATGATTGTGACTCTCGCTGAAGATCATTGAGCAATATGTATCTAAGTTCAGCTTCACGCATTCTTCTTTGAACTTCACGGCGATCATTTGCTAGACGAATATTTGTAATCGCATCAGTTCCATTTTGAACTAGCTCGGAAATCACTTTATCACTATCTTCCAATTGCTTTTCAATACCAATTTTATCTTCATCGTACACTTCAGTAACCAATTTTGGCATCTCATCCTTTCTTTTAAGAAATTCTTGTATAAATGATTGCCGTTTCTCATCTAAAATCGCAGATTCTACAATTCGCTTCATAATGGGAACTTTAGTCTCCTCACTTTCATTCGTGTCTACTTCAGACTCTGCTTCCATTCTGAAAATTTTCTTTTTCTTTTTTGCTATTTCAATTTTTACAACCCTTTTATTTTATATGTTATAAAATAACTTTCCAATAGATTACAACAAAAGTATTTTACTTGTCAATGTCCTAAAACCGCGAGTGATATTCACTACTTATATGGAATGAATTATACAAAAGGATACTATTTTTACAGTATAAACAACTTCTATGGTTGCTTGGAGAGCATACACGTATGGTGAAATTATCGATTGATAACGAACTTTTTCAACCCCTCGAAATTTTTTATGGAACTTGATGTCTATGGCAATAAGCAAATTAATTAAAGTAGAAATTGATCAGCGTCTGGCTTTTAAAACGTTAAAATTACTCCCTTTTAAAGGACTGTGTAGGAGAATCCATTTTTTTTACATTATCATCATAATTAGGCACAACATTTTCATAGTTTTTTGTTTTCATTACTTAATAATTAATTATATGTTGAATCTTTACCTTTTTCATTGTTGGATACGATGAGAAAGGATTCATAAATATTTTTTATTAACTCGACATTCGTGTACCTATCGAAATTGATTAAAATGAAAATTATGATTTGTGTGTATCATGTAGTGATTCAAAAGTTAATGTTGTTTACTCATCGTTCTATATATCATTCGAAGAGTTGCTTTATGCTCACGTGTGTTAGCTATGAAACAAGATGCGTTACAGAGGGCAAAATTAAATTTATATATAAGCATGATAAAGACACCAGCTGCAAAATTTCCAGCATTCAACGTTTGTAATGTAAGTGCTTTATGGTGGTGCTTTATTGTTTTGTAAAACTGGAATCTCCCTTCATCGTTGAAATGACGTATTCGTATGTATGCTGAAGGGGTGTGCGATGCGATATATACTCGTGCATTTATGTATTTTGAGTCGCAATTTGCTGTTTATGTGGGTTCAACGCATTTCAATTATGAATTGGAACTAATCACCAGCATTGTTTGCATTTTAACGGATTTTCTTTACAATATTATGTCTTGTGTTATTTTCTATCTGGTTTTTTATTTGCAGTACGATCACCTCAAATTTCTCCACCTGATGAAATCAGATATAAAGAAATTCATTCATGAATACAATTTCAAAGGAAATTCCGTGAAATTTTTAAGGAAACACCATTAAAATTACATGATAAATGAATTTCAGACATATTTCATGGGAATTGCGCCAGTTCTTATATTTCACATATTTATAAATGCTAAACGATGAAATTACTTGACAAATTTTTGTTGTATAAATTGGTCAGTTGTTTATGCAATGCCATATGACGTTTATTTTTTATTATTTTTCTTACTTTCTGTTAGAAATGTGACTATCATGTTTCAATGAATTCCCACGAATTTAAAGAAAATGAAGTTTATTGAACTTCATTCTCAATTTTTTTATTCATTTAATTAAAATGAGAACAGCATCAACAAAAAAAAATCCCTTACAATGAAAAAAAAGTACCTCTAAGTACATAAAATTAAATCATTTAACATAAAAAATGAATGAAAGAAAGCATCATAATGCCTCTTGCATACATATCTCTCTTATTAAAAATTACAAAAAAAAAGAAAATTATTCATGAGACACATCTCATGTGTTCCTTATTATTTATTTTTTGTCGTCTCATAAGACAATATTGCAATGATTATAAAGATACAGAAAATGAGACACAAAAAATGCTGAGGGATATAAAAGAATGAATTTCATGTTTATAAAAAAAACTGTTACTACATAAACAATAATTTTTTTATGTTGAGAAGAAAAAAAATGATTTCATGACATTTCAACGGAAAAAATTTGGAAGTAAATGGAAAGAAAGATCCGATGATCTTGTCAGACGAGAATGATAATTTTTTAAGATTGCTCTTGTAAAATTCTATTTAATTAAATCATGTGACAGCCCTTTTATCGTTAAATTGCATTCAAATTTTCCTGTATTTCAATGAGCTGAAAATGTTCTTTCGATTCTGCGATTGAATTCACAAACGTAAAAATTCTAATTTTAATGGATATACTAATTCCTTCAAATTCGAGTTCATTGAATCCATGAATAGCTTCGCATTTGAAACGATGAAAATCAAAATGTGGACGAAGAAAGTCAAAAATTTTGGATAGATTCTAATCAAGTGATATTCTGATAATGATGAAGGTGTTGGAAGATTCTGACAATACTAAAGATGAAGGGATCTAATAATTCAATTTTTTAATGACAATATTAATGAATGATCTTCAGAAAGAAATAGAACTCAATATCATTACTTAATGGCTTATACAATTCGAGTATTTAACTAAAGTATCATGTTTGCAATCTAGATCAACATCCAATTTACCAATCAATCGATCAAAATCTATACATCGATTCCAATACGCATATAGAATTGAGTTTGTCTGATTGAAAATAAAAGTTGACACAATTTCGTACGCAAAAAAAGCGAAAGCTAATTGAAATTTTATTCAAATCATATGTCTAATGATCAGAAACGCATAAAAAGTGTGTCGCATAGTCTAGTTCTGTTTAATACGCACCAAAACATTTTATCAATTTCTACACACGCATTTTCGCCATATATGCCTTAGAATGTCTTTCAGAATGAGTCAGTAAATAAACTCAATGAACGCTTTCAGAATTCGCAATTAATTAAAATTCTGCAAAGCGACAATTTCTATGCAAATTTATTTTTTTTTATTATTATTATTTGAGACAAAAAATCTGAAAAAACGAAATTCTTATCGTAAATTGGAATTAATTAAAATTCAGAGCCTGTGGATCTTAAAGGAATTTTTTTGTTTTTCTTCTTTTTCATTCATCATAAACATTTTCATTTAATTAACCAAAAAAATTTTGAACTCTAATAAATTTCGTGCGAAAGAAGTAAAATAAAAGGAGATTAAAGATTTGACAAAAATTTGCCGTGCTTTTCAGAACTTTTAATATTCACACCGTATTCACACGTGATTGTTTTGTTTTTGTTCAGATTAAAAAGTCAATTTATTTTTTTTTTGAATTTTGTGAGGAAATGGAGTAAGATAGCTGAAAATCTCCGAAGATAAAAAGTTTGAGCCTGAAATTTTACATCTTCTGCAAAAAAGAATTCAAATTGGTTGCAGCATTGCTGAGTAAATAGCTAAATACACTTTCTGAATAGCAAGTAAGTTAATCAGTTATAAATCTCTATAATGAGACAAAGTAGAGAGTTCTAGTTTTTTATATTCGATCTATGATGTCTTATAGAAGAGCTGCATTGTTTTTGAGCAAGGTAGGAACAACCGTTGCTTCAGAAAAAGCAAAAAACCTTTCTATCTTAAGATTGCTTAAAAACCAAAGTTTACGATGATTTTTATAAAATTAAACTTTTAATGGGAAAATTTTTAAGAATGTTTGGCACATCCAATTAGCTTTAAATCTTCAAACATATGCTAAGCAACACTCAGCTGACTCGTCAAGCTTTAGAACTTTAAATATTTAATTTATCCATTAAACTTTAAAACTTATGCTGAGCACAACTTGGTCTATCCTCAAGACTTTCAATAGTACGGTGTGACTATATCCGCATTGTGTTTCTCCCTGATACAATAGTAGCTTTATATTTATGTAATCTTAAAAAAAACATCTCTCATTACTTGTAAACTGTAGTAATGTATGTGCTACAATTTATGCTCATTTGCTGTTCTTGATAATCTCATTTCTTTCATTTGACATGTAGGGAAACCACTTCCCGTCAAAATGCAAAATTTTTATATAAAGCCGCAAAAAATTAATAAAATTGGTACTTTATATCCTTTATTTATTGGAGATAGGTTTGTACTATTATAAACCAAAATCAGACAAATATTTCTAAAAAAAAAAAAAAATCTGAAGTAGATAATCGTACATTTTGGATAATCTTCGGTTTTGCGATAAATTGCTAATAAACGAAATGATTGATCAAGTCAATTCAAATTTACCAATGACAATAACTTTTTAACTGAACAGAAAAAAATACTGCAGATTATTCATAATGTCACTTAAAATAGAACTTAACAGAACAAAGTGTCGTTCTGGCAAGATTGCTTTCAATCCTTTAAACGAAACTGTTTAAGCATAAAAAATCCAATGATTGATTTTAATCATTATTCATATTGTATAGTTTATTGGAAAGTACGACCTATGTCCAAAGAAATGCTGTCCTTTTAAAAATTAAATGCTTTTGTGGTTGTTGTCCAAAAATCTATAATTAGGTAGAAAAAAAGGTCCTTTATGTCATGATCGATTGACCATTTCTTGCTTTGAACTTTTTTTTGTGTCAAATGAAAATAAAGGAAGAAAGTGTTTTGTTGTTCCTTACAGTTCCTTAAAAAATGTCATCCATGTTCTTTTTATGGAAATTTTCTTAGAATATTATTTTAAGCTATTCAGTTATTGTGAAATGTAATCAACACTGTAAAAGAATTCCTTTGAAGGTAAAGAAGAAGAAAAAAAACGTTTTTTTCAACCGCTGAAAGTAAATCTTTTTTTCTAGCATAATGAATGCAATCATTAATATTAATTATATACGAAATTATGCTGTGTAATTCCTTATTTCTTGTATTTTTGCGGAGAACAGACTAAACAATTATTCGGTGTTAGATCATACAGAAGGAAATGAAAATTTACAGAAGGGGATAGAAAATTTAAATAAATTTTGTTAAATTTTTTATTTTTATTTCTGTTTCTAAAATAGCAACAATGCTAAAGTAAAAACATGATAATACTTTTGTCGGTACCGAATGATGCCGAATGATAAATTGAAATCAGTGTTAAATTGTCGAAGGAATCATCATCCATAACATAACATTTTTTTTCCTAAAATATTTCTGTACATGAGCAAGTAGTTATGCTATAAAAGTTGTGAATGTAGATTGTCTTACAGGGCCAAGTTCTTGCATTTTCCGTGTATGTATACATATTCAGTCACAGCACAATGATAATCACTGTTATGCTTCAATAAGAACCTCCACAAGAGTAGAGGGAATGAAGAAAAAGGCACGTCGTCGTTAAAAAGACGTTAGCATAAATTTCTCTCTCTTACTGTTTTCTCTATTGTTTGCCCTTTCAAGATCCAACCAACAATCAAAGGCTCCACACCGAGAACATAGTGATTCTCTGAAACCTGTTTCTGTGTGGAGGATGAAATAAAAATGAGCATCAACAAAAGAAAACAGCAAAAACCTTTTTTCAGTGATTGTTTTGTTGGTTTGAAACATAAAAATACCTTCATGAATCTGAATTTTTTCGTATTTTGTTCTCGTTGATATGCTTTTCATTCTGCATGAGTTCAGAATATTTTTTTTTCGAAGCCTTTTCGTGTCTTCTTCTTTGCCATTTATTTCTTCGCTAAATATTTGATGTTTTTTTTTTTATAATAGCACGATAATAACCTCACAAGACATATATATCTAACTATAAATGTATTTCTGGGTATTTTTTTTTTGTTTCGAGGCAATTGAGTGATTCAAAACGTGAAAAGTATTTTCGTGGTTCCTACATATCAGTTCATCGACCTTTTCAAATTATTTTGCGCCCTTAAAATCATTCAAGAATTTGATCATAACAGAAAGAAAGTGCGGTGAAGTAAAGACAAAAACGCGCAGTGCATAACAGAATTCTTAATTGTCTTCGAAAACCCTTTGAGTGGATAGGTGTGATTTTACTGATTCTTTCCTGCTTTTCACATTACTCTTTTGAACGATATTCTCGTTTTTTTTCTTCAAGTCGTTAAATTTGGGTGCGTCAAGTAAAGTCGCTCAATGGAAAAGAATATCAGTTATTAAAAATTCCGAGGAATTCATTCAGTAAACTCAATTTAAGTTTCTTTTTTTTAAATCATAGCCGGAAAGTTTCAAAGCATAAGAAAATGAGACGATTTACAAAATTACATCAATTTCCGATATCTTAAAATTATGTAAAAGATTTTAAAATGATTTTTGTTACATTCAGGTTAAAATCTATATAGCTTAAGGATATAAGAAATTGAGAATTTCGAGATTTAAAAATCAGAACATTAAGATTACTTTTTACATGATTTATTTCCACTAGATCCTTAATTATCCTCATGATTGTTTTAAAAACAATAAGCATCTCGAGTAAATAACAATTTAAAACATTAGACTACATTAAAATGCATTGCTGCATGCATAAACCTTACTTTTTATCCGTTAAAGTTTCTTCTTTAATTTTTGATATTGTTCGTAAACGTTAAACTCTGTAAGTCTCGAACTGTGCGATGCTACTAGAACTAGAACATATTTATTCTTCAATCTGTGAATTGAACACTCTTGACCTTACTAGAAAGTTTTTAAAATAATTCCCATCATTTAAAGTCGCCATCAATCTATTTCAGTTTCTCATTTACATTTTAATATTCCAAAGGAATCCATTAATACCTTAAATATAATAGAAAGTCAACAACCTTAAATCTAATCAACTTTCCTTTTTCTCTCTAAATTCTATTAGTTTTATGTTTTCTGATTGTAATCCTTTTAAATCTTTAGAAATAAATTTATGGCCTTCACATCAAAAAATCTAATTTTATGATGGAATCTAAGCCATAAAAAGGACTCAATATTTCTCACTTACATTAACTTTTCTTCCATTTCTTGTGGATTTTACGAGAAAAGAAAAAAATTTTAATTTTAATGACGCAGCGGGACGAGCGCTTTTGAAATTAAATAATTTACCTACATAGTCATTTTACCTAACAACACATTTGATATCTTAAAAGGATCATTAAATGGATGCAAGAGCCTTACATGTATGAGAATTAAATATTTATTTTAAATTAGAACTCTGAACCTGTGAAGAAGCGAGACGTTCATGAGAGAAATTAAATAAAATATAGAAACCGGATTTTATTCACACGCAAGCCAGCTACAAGTGCCTGTGATTAAAATAAAACATAAAATTTTTTAAGCGTATGATGATACAAGAAAATCCTTAATAACTCTGATAAAGACTACATGAATTATTTAATGTGAAATGTTGTACACAACAAAATAATTCCAAAGATCTCGCACATGATTCTTGAAAAAATTAAGCCAAACATTACTGGAAGATTAATGCTAATGTTTATGAGTATCAATTTTACGGAGAGTATGGAGGATAGAGGATAGAATAAAAATTTGAAATGGAAGGGTAAGTAACAAATTGAATAAATTTGTTTCTCCTTACAATCATATATAATCCATTTCATCTGTTTTCTCTCGCCGAGATGCTCTCAAGAGACGATGAAAAATGAGATTCAATTTATGTTAGTGTGCTGAGAAAATGAAACATTCCTTCAATGTCAGTTATGTGAAAAGAAATCAAATTGCTACCTTTTAACTTAAAGATGTTACAACATTCAAAAGTAAGAAGATGCTATAAATCCATGAAAATGATTAAATGAATCAAGTTTCATAAAAATTTCAATTTCTTTGGCTTCGCACTCTTCCGTCTTCTTTTATGAGCACCAATATATTTATATAAAAGTAGTTCTGGGTATTTTTCAAAATATAAAATTTCTGATTTTACATTTTGATGGTGGCCTTTTTGTTATTTTTTAAGGAACTTAAAAAACTATTGAAATTTTCCCATAAACCAAAAAATTGGAAATTTATTTGACTATGAATGATATTTTTTAAAAAATTAGCAGAAAGTTATGCTGCTTTATATTTTTGAAACATAATTTATACATAAAAATATGATTATAAATGATCAGAATAAAATTATTAATTCTGATTATCTTATTAAGGTATTAAACATATGATGAAAAAAATAATAAACTTTACTAATTAAATATCGTAAGGAAAGGAAGCTAAAATCAATTCAATGTACGAATCAATCAATCAATCATTATAGCTTCTTTTGTTCTCGCAATCTTTGATTTTCTCTCAAGTAGATCTCTCGTTCATGATCACGTTCAGCGATTTTAATCTGAAAATTAATTTATCATAATTTTGACATTTTTATTACTTAAATACACTAATTACCGTAAGTTGGGAAATAAGACTGTTGAATGTGCTCAAACTAATTGATATTGTGTCATCCTCCTTATTATTTTCTGAATTTTGAGAATCAGCATTGAAACATTTTTGGGTGGACTGTATCCATTCCTCGATATGTTGAGCTTGCTTATAAAGAGCCTGTGAGATGTTTGCCAAGTCTGACTGTTTCATAATCGGTAAATTTACATTAGATTCTTGTCGTAACATAGATTGTGCAGATTCTGCTGATGGTTTTCTTTTAAGCACCATTCTTTCCTTAATTTTTTCGATTCTTTCTGATACTTTTTGAATCCATCTAATAATTTAAATGATTAATTGTGTTATGTGCATACTCTCATGTGAACAATCTCAAAACAAATTACTTACAGCTGACATTCTGCTTCATTCATAGCAATCAGTTCAAGCATTTGAGAATCGCGATCAGTTTGACTAATAAGGAAGAATGATTTGTTATCTATAGCATTTGATCTAATGATAGTTCTGTACAATTTAACTATTGGAAGTTTCATATTATCAAACGGCTTCATAAAGTATTTATCTTCATGTTTATGCAGAATCACAATCATTTTCTCGAATAAAAGAATTCTTAAGATATTCGGACATTTTTTCATCGTGACATATCCATCAAAAATTAATTTATAATCTGTTAAATTGAAATTACGAAACTCTATTGGAGCTTCTTTCAGATAAGTTTTATCAAGCTTCATCTGAATTGACTGCAATCTGTTCAACGTAAATAATTAATATTATGAAATTTAATTACAGTCCAGATACTTACTCTTCAGAGTACTTTATGACATCGTTAACATAGTTTAGAATCATCTTTGATGTCTCACAAACCTTTTGTATTTTATCGTGTTCAGCTCCAGACGAATATTTAAGGATTCTCCCGAATAAAAGTGGATATTTTGTTATTCGTTGCAAAACGGATAGCATCAAGTCTTTTAATTGCAATCTTTTACATCGCTTATGTGACTCTGCTTTAATTAGACCTCTTTGTAAAGTTTCGTTCTTGATTCGAGCTATTCTAAGCAATTCTAAGGCATTTTTTTGACCAGCACAAAACGTTGCTGCATTTTCTTTTAAAATAGTTCCATAAGGCTCTTCAAAAATCGACAGACAATCTCCAATCTTTAGAAGCACTCCATGTTGTTCTCGCCATTCTTTTTTTAACATTGTCTCAAATGAAGCATGCCAATCTTTAATGAGGAAAAAAGACGGAGGAAAAAGTAAATGTGCCAGTTCTGATGATAGCGATTTGGATCGTTTTAATGGCTCATAAAAAACATTTTGAAGAACTTTCAAGGTCTTAACATGTCTTCTTTCCGTTTCGAAAAGTTCTAAGCATTAAAAAACATATTAATTAATAATGTTAAAAATGTATTAATATCGATAATTACCCAAAATGACATCTCTTCGTTTTTTTTCTTCATCAGATAACTTTTGAAAGTCTAATGACACATCAGTGCTCCATATACTATCATCTAAATTTCCATCATCTGAAGAATCTGATACTTGTTGATTGTTATTTGAGAGACTAAGCGAGAATTAAGAAGAATTGTTGATAAATGTATGAATAATGTTTATAATTGAATTTCTTACGTATAAAGACCAGGATCAGATTTAGGACGGTCTCCTTTGTATCTTTTGTAATTTTCAATACGTCTATTGCCAATAGCTTTATGCACAAGTTCCATTAATTTTGAAGAATCTTTAGATTCATTCATTTCTTGATCACTTTCATTTTCTTCTTTGTGCAGCACACAGATTCCAGAAATTTTTTCAATGCATGATTCATGGATTTTAATGCCACATTTGCATTCATAAGCTTGCGGAGATAGTCCCCAAAATACATTTGAACAGAAGTCACAGCAAGTAGTTTCGTAACAACTTTTTGGTGTCAAATGATGTCCCTTTACTGGCTTATCCGCCTTAATTACGTTTTCTTGCGAGGTAAATTGATCGATTGGTTCAAAATATGTTTTACGAGGATGAAATGTTTGGTGAATAACAGTGGAAAGTGCTGAAACTAATAACTTTTTACTATAATTTGGCTCCATTTCCTTGTATTCATCAATATCTTCTAGCATTTGAAGGAGTTTTGGCATCAAATTCTTTTCCACAACAATTTGCTGCTTTTTATTACTTTCCTTTGAAGCTTTTAAATCAGTTGATGATCCACCGTACATAGTTTCTAATCCAGCCTTTCTTTTATTCTGGAACTCTTCAAGTTGCTTCGAAATGATTTGTTCTACTTCATATCTAGCCTTATCAAAAATATCGCGTAGAAGACGAAGCATCTCAAAATCATATGATGATGTAACATTTTCCACTGGATCATAATTCGAAATTAGTTTAAGCTTCTTCTCAATGTCATTGAGTGTCGTCTCATGCTCAATTGGATCTAGCACTTTTAAATGCTATAGTAAAAAAAAACCAATAAATATAGGAATTTCGACAGCTCACAATCATAAAAATGTGAAACTTACTGCAAATGGTGCGAGAAAACTAGAATAAATCTCATACGCCCACTTTTTCATATCTTTCAAATTTCCATTAGCATACAAATTAGTTATTAAATAGAACAAAATAAATTCCGAAATAGAATGAACAATCGTAAAGTTAATAAATACAGACAAATGAGCTGCATTACATGCCAAATTAAGCTTTGAAAATGATGTAAAGGCTTCTTCTTCATCATCGCTGAGTATCTCGTCATCTGATTCAAATGCCATAATATTGAGTTGCTGTCCAATTAGCTCAATTTCACTGGTTGAAATATCCGAATCTTCTTTCATCGAATTATTACTGACCTAAGAATCATCAAAATCATCATTTGTTAAACTATTTTCGGCATTTTACTTACACTTTCATTATCGCTTTCTGATGATTTTAAAGAACCTTGTTCATGATTCTCGTGTATATAGCTAATTAAATCACTGACTTTCTTTTTATCAGAATTTTTCTTTATTTTTTTTTCCATCGACTTTTTTAATGAAAACTTCCAAAATGTATTATCTCGAATTTTCTTGCCACCTTTTTCGCTCTTTTTCATTATTTTCATGATATATTCATTTTACACAAATCTACAATTATTTTAATTTTATATTGTTTTAACCTTTCAAAAACTTTGTTTACACTTTTTACCGCACTATTTGCAAGAAAGAAATTATAACTTTCAAATCTCATAAATCCGTTAAATTTTAAATTATCGTTGTAACGATCATTTTTATCACAAGCCTAATTAATGTTGTTAAAGCAATAAAATTTTGCATATTTTCTCGTGTTTAATATAATGATTAATTAATTTTATGGTCATAATTTCTCTAGGTTTTCGATAAGATTCTATTTCCATAAACAAAAGTGCGTATAATGATCATTAATGAGGTGTGTTTTATGTGCGTGGTGAACAGGTTTTTTTTTTACATAGCAATAATCTTTACGCAAATCTCTGTTGGCTAATTCTACACATTCTTACACAAACAGTGAATAAGCTTAAACGCATTAAAAAAGAAGAATAAAATTCCTTCATCAACATTTTTTTCGCATATTTTATAGATTTGCCCACAATATACAAGATCAAGTCTGAATAAAAATGTTTAAATATGACATCCTGTCGATTTTGAACGTAAAGAAAGAATCTTCTATCTCGTTATACTGTATTAAAAATTTAGTTCTATCTAATCAGCATAAGTAAGAATTTTTATGATAATGCATGGTTGGTTTCATATTAAACAGAAATGATATCGACAGCTTAAAAATGTATTTTCTTGTATTATAAATCTCGTTGGTTTTTAATTAAATATTATCAACGAAGGTGGTCATTTGATGTCTCAGAAAAATTTAAAAAGGAATTAAAAGAACCGTGACATAAATTTAAAATATATACTTTATAAATATCATTTTCCAAACGAATGTCTCAATTTCACTTACAAAATCTTTGGTTTCCGTTTTTAAAGCCCATCCATAAGAAAATTTAAAAAGAAGAAATTCAACAAGCCCTTCCATCTTAATCCTTCCTAATTGACTCAGGGAATCCATAAAAGGTAAAATTTCACACGGTTTTTGTTGAAATGCTTTAAAAAAGTGATCAAACATAAATTCCTTTCGAGTCCTCGTGCGAAAATTTCTTTCTTTCCAAATTCATATGATAATCCCGTTATTACCATTTAATATGAACAAATAAATTCTCAAAAAATCTAGACAAAGAAATTCATCCTCAAAAAATTTTTTGGCGAATAAAATAAATTTTCATGCTTTACACAAATAAAAGAGAACGACAGGATGTAGAACTAGGGATAGAGTGAAAGAAAAGTAATAAAGAGCCATTACCTGCCATACAAACATTGGCATTCTTTTAATATTTGTTTGCAAAAAGAGACTCACCGACACTTATCGTTTTGATGTTTTCATCTAAGTCTTTTTTTTTCGTACAATTCACATGTGAAAATATTTTCTCTAAACTTTATATATGCACACATAGAGATTTCTTTGGTACTCGATTATTTAAATGACAAAAGAGATTAAGGTAGGATGTTGGAAGTTTAAGAATGTTTTTCAGGTGAATTATGAGAACGGAATTTCTGCACGGTGGTCGGAAGCATCAATTGAAATAAATAGAAATGTAAAAAGAGAACACCAGGAGATATCCACATTCCAAATTCTTTCTTTCTTTTGTCTAGTGCATAAGAAATCCTAATCCACCCAAAGAATTATTATTATTATTATTTGTCATGTACGCATGATTAAGTCTTCAAAATCTCTTCTCTCTAATTAGACGTTTCAATTCTATAAGTATGTTGTCTTCGTTAATTGCATATATTAGTAGCTTCCTTGTTGGTCTTAAAAAAATTATTCCAGACTTTTCGACTGGCTGAATTTCATTGTTATTCCCAGCTGAAACAGATAAAGTCCATTGCATACTGGACTGTTGCTTGAGATAAAAAATTATCAAGATAGGAACTTATTGTTTAAACTCCGTGTCTGTCAAACTCTTTTTAAATTGTGCCTCGTCAGAACACACTTCAAAAAGTTTTAGTTCAGAGTGTTTTTCGCGACACAAAGTTTTAGAGGGACTGCAAATATTTTAAATAAACATTATGGAATTTTAAAATTGTAATGTTGTCTGCAAATTTTAAAAACATCTGCTGTCAGCATATATGCTAAACAAAGAACAACAATTATGATCAAGTGTGATAATTTTAATCATCTTATCAATTACTTAAATAACATGATAAGTATTACACGTCACAAAAAATTACTAGTCGCATTATATCTCTACATCAATTCCACAGTTGTGTAGCATAACGAACTTTGAATCAAACAATTGTTAGAACATTTAAACAATATTTGCATTTACTATCAATATGGGTTGATTTATCTTTGACTATATATGTAGAATATAATGTGAACTCAACACGTGTGGAAATAATTTTTTTAAGAAAAATAGTGGTGATTATTTTTGTATATACAAAAACGCTTATGAATACATAGATAGTTACATAAAAGACACATTTATGTTTTGATTTAATCTAGCTGGTATTGTTCTGAAAAATGAAACTCCTATTCCTCACAATCACTATAACTGTGTCAAATCGAGGGGTTGAAAAACCATCACCTGGCATATAAAAATCGAATCATGTGCATAAATCTCATACTACTACTGAAATACATACAGTAAGTTTTATTTCCAGCAATTCATCATGACAGTTTTATAGTGCACAATGTTAAATTCAAGAGCTCTTAACAATATTCGGCCAATTTCGTAAAATAAAAAAACGTTTTTGGACGTTATAAAAAAGAATTGATGACATATTTATTAAGTGAACGTGAAAAGCCTTAATCATTTTTTGCTTTAAAACTCCTTTAATATTTCTTCTACTCGCTTTGCAACTTTACGATTTGGTTTATAAAGAATATTTAATGTATATTCGATCTCTTTTCGAGTGTGTAGCGGTGGCCATAATGTGGTTATTGCAAAAAGTCGATGAAATCTAATCTGCTCATAAGCCGTTGGCTGCATCCACTCCAATGATTCAAGCTCAGATAAAAACTGTTTGTTGTATTTCATAACCGATTCGTGATATCTTTTTTTGCATACCTGATCGCTATCATAAAAAAAATATAAATCAGTAAAATTTGCAGTTTACAATAATATTTATGAACTTACTAGGGTATCGCAGATTTTGATCTTTTTCCATGTTTGCATGGAAAATTATCAACATCTTTCTTTTTAACGCGACGTTTCTTCTTTTTTCGTTCATCCTCCATTTGAACTACTGAAATAAAATTAATTTATCTAAACAACTAATTCCGACCAAATGCCTTTACATAAGAAAAAATTTATTGAAAAAACTTCAAGCTCAAAAGTCATAAACAAATTTATCGGTTCCCTTGGTGATTATACAAAGTGATGAGATTACTTCACCGTACGACGATGTAAATAAGTTTTTTGTTTTCGTTCCGTCAATGAGAATTTTTGGATCTCGAAGCTCTGGATTGCGTGCTGTTATAAAGTTGATACAAGATGACCAAATATTTGTCGATTTTGGTATAATTATGGGTGCTTTAAGTACAGTAAAATCCGATTTCTTTCTTTCTTTTGTAACGAAGCATGGGACGTGTGTTCTGGCATATCCTAAATTAACTTCTGTTCCCCATATGTTTGTACCGTATATGCTAAATACAATTTGAGGCCCTGAAATTGAAATAATACATTTATCACAAATGTGTGCACTGATTACTAAATAGCTTTATTTTAACATACATCCATAAATATTTGTAGACTTGTATGTACACTCAATCGGCATATTGAAAACAATTTCATCTGATTCTTTTCCTCCATTCGCACATTGTGTTATGCCCGATTTAATTCCAGAAACTATTTCCCAATCATCTCCAGCCACTATATCATATCGACAAAATACTCCACTTCCATTTGGTCCAAGTGGGAATTTGACTGATTTTATTTCACCAACAATATTTAAATAAAAGAAATTCTCAATTGACATTCTGCTTCTTTTGTTTTGGAACTAAAATAAAATTGTTATTGAAATTGTTTATGTTGGCTTGTTGCTATGGTGATCACAATTCTAACATGTTGCCTATTATTCGTTTAAGGACGAGGTTCAATAAAATTGAGTGAGCTAAACATTTGCAAAGTTTCACTTATCAGCATGTAACGGTTTTTGACTTCTTTGCAGCATTTTTTGTAATTCTCATAAGAATAAATAAAAGAATTCCTAATTTTTCCTAAAGTCAAGAATAGATCTTGGTTTCGTATTCGCAAAACATCCTTTAGATTCTTCTTTCAAATTTATGGCACAATTTATTGTCTTTACATAAATACATACATTAAAAAATTACAATTGTGCACATGAATAGATTGTTTTGAGAAATAGACACATGACCGGAAATTTCAGGAAGGAACTAGACCTACTGCAAAATTTCAGTATAAAAACATTTTTTAACCCAAACAGCACAATAGTTTGACTACATGAAGTGATCACTATTTACATTTTTATATATATATATATATATATATATATATATATTTTTTTTTGTAAAGGAATCAAGATGTAAAAATCTTTAAATATTTCATGAATTATGGAGATGTCGATAGTTTAACAAGAAATATTACTTTAAAGCTCTTAACAACTTTATTAAATGAAATTTAAGAATTTAAGAACCAGTGAAAAAGCCATAACATATAACGGCAGTAAAACGGCTTAAAAATCTCCATGATGTGAGGAACAGAATAAAAAAAGGAAACGAAAAAATAAAAGTCTTTCTTTTTCATTCATATAAGCTAGTGATGAAATTCACACGAAACTGGTTTTTTGCAAAAAAAAATCTTGGAATACTCAAAAATCAATCCTTTTAATTCTTTCAGAAACGTTCTGAATTTCATTCTATACTTTTATTTTCGTTTACATAATCTGTAAGAAATTCCATACCATGTCTCTTGCAAGTTAAGTTATAGAATGTTAGCTTTATGCATAATAATTGAGACCTTCCTGTGATTATGCTATTATTGTGCATCCATATATGTCGGCGTTACATTCAATATATGACTTTTCCTGAACTGATTTAAATTGCTTTTAACACAACAAAATAGCTCACTTTCCTAAACATTCATTTTTATTGTTGACTAGAAGATTTTTTTACGAGCGTGCTTAATGTTTATTACATAAACAGACGAATGCATTTATAAATGTGAAAAGAAGAGAATTATGTAAATTGTGAAAGGTAAAAACCATTTGCCGAAAGTCAAAAAGTTTATCTTGATATTTGTTCTAGGAATATTTATCCTACATATTTAACAATATTCTTTAAAAAAGGAAAAATAAATTGGATACACAAAGGATAACGAAGGAAAAAATTAGTAACTTTGTTGAGACCAATAATATACCAGCATGAAATTGAATGTTGTGTGGCCTTTCTGATTATTAAATCATTGTCCACCGTGAATGAATAGAAAGCATTAAAAATATGAACACAGATTATTATTTATAAATCAGGTGTTCGAGGTTTTGTGGATATTTTTTAAAAACTCTGCATGCTATGAATCATAGAAGCTTATCTATGAGGGTGTTTTGTTTCAATTTTCGAAACTGTTGCAAATGAAATGATTCAAGTCCAACAACTTTTCAATTTCAACGGAATTAACCGACAATAACTGAAAATATAATCTTAGGTAGTTAAAATAAAAATTTCTTAAAGAACATTATTGATAGACTAGGTTTATTCAAATCAGGTAATTTTTATTAAATTAGGTAAATTTCAATATTAAAAGTCTGCCTGATAAGCAGTTACATCTTAAAAAGGAGTTGTAAATCGTTAGGAAAGTTATATTATTTATTGCGGAAAATTGAAAACTTTCTATCCCTGAAATTTTAATATAACCAAAAATAATTCTTGCAATTTAAATTGAAGGAGTGATAAAAGGCAACCTCCTTAAATTCAAACTTAATTATTTCATCAATATCTTACCTTTTTCATCATTTTTATGAAAATTTTAAGAATTATCATGAAGACGTGGGCGTTTTTGGAGAAAAAAAATTGATTTTGATATTTAAGCTGAAATAAATATTACTCCTTTTAATATAGTGCCCTTAATTTATTATATGAAGAGAAAGAGACACGTATGGCTTTGGGATCGCTTACTGAAATGCAGACGGGATAATTTTTATTGAATATATCTTTTTGGTAATGCTTAAAATTGACAATAAATTCATGTTAAATTATTTTCTAGAATTTAAAGGGGTGTAAAATTGTAAGGAAGATTGATGAAAAAAAATTTATAGGAGGAGATGATGGAACGTGCGGGTGGATTTTTTCTACCTAAGTATCTTTGATATAAATAACTGACTCTCAAATTGATCGGTAAATTAAGGGGGAAATTTAATGTTTATAAATTTAATTAGAATCTCGCCACCTTTTGATTGCTACCGACTTGAAATTAATTTAATGTACAAACAGTAATTATCGATTTTAAATCATTTCTACCTATCGTTAGGTACAATAATCAAATTGAATTGATGATTTACTGACGTAAATTGTATGGAATAGATAATGATAAATGTGATGTTCTTTCATGTATTTTCCAGTATTTTCTCACAAGATTTTGTAACATTTTTTGACCATTAAACCTTAAAAAAATTATTTTAAAGCAATTTCTTTTCATTTTTCATGCAATTATTGACAATTAATGAATTGTCCAGTTCAGGTAATTTAGGATGCTGGTCAGTTTAATTATTTGCTTGAAAATTTGAAAATAGACACCTATCAGCATGAAACTTTTATCCATTGTATTTTCAAGTTGATTCTTTTTTTATCTTTTGTGCTGTATATTGTGTAAAATTACAAAATATTTAAATTTCATTTAAGTTTACAGTGGACACAAACAAAAAAAAATTATTTATGTGCTTCCTTTCTCTTATTCAGTAGATATTCTTATCTATTCATTATATTTGTTTGTGTTTATTTACTTGCTTTTAACGAGCTATATACAATACTGACACCCTTGAGAAAATTTCACAATAAAGATTCAACAGACATAATTGTCTTATATCAAGTTGTCACAACTCTTTAGGTTCTCATTGTTTTCTTCATTAGGTGATTTGACTTTGGCTTTGGCACATTTCAAATATGAGTAATCTGGTTGTCTCATCCTCAATTATTTTATTAGTAGTGGATCAAAAAAGCCAAATTAATCTGAACAAAAATCAGTGGATCTTCTTATAAAATTTGTATTCTGAAATCATCGTCTAGTGACTATATGTTTCGTCCTAATGTACAAGAACCTCTTATATTTAATAAATTGATGAGCCCACAGCTCTTTCAATCGTATGACATTAATTGTCTAAATATCGAATTTCAGGCTATATATAAACGTCATGAGGAAAACATTAATCTTCAATATAAATTTTTCATACAAGTACGCAATTTGTTGCTGTTTCCATCATTATCATCAATTTAAAAAGATTTCGCAGAAGGAATAGAAGTCAGGTATCAGCAAAATAACTTTTGTATATCATATCCATGAGAAATCACTTGATTATAGACAGAAAACTTTTAAAAAAATATCATTTCTTAAATACAAAAGCATTTTAAAGAAAATTTTCTTAAAAGATTCGATTCAGTTCTTGAGATTAAACAATGAGGAATTTTTTTTAAAGAAAGGAAGAAAAATACGTATTCATTGTTCCTTTTTTGCATCCATCCCAATCTTATGGCTCTGATCTTCATGTTATCTGGCAAATTCAAGCAGACCGACAGAGCCTGAGAAAAGGGAATATGATATTCTAGGTGGACATAAAAAATTAATTCTTTTGAATTAGGACATTTTTTTCTGTACAACGTAAAAGGAAAGAAAATCTTTGATGATTCTAATTTTTCCTGTAAAAGCAATAAACTTCTTGCCGAACAATTCTCACAATGACTTTTCAAATATTTTGCCTTTCATTCCTTCTTTATAAAAAGTAAATGACAAAAGTAAGTGTAAAAGAAATTTTATTTCATTTTTAAGTGTCGGCAAAAATTGTTTAAAGTGATAGGAGGAAAGACAAGTTCAATTGACAGATATTTGTGGTACTTTATTCAATTGTTGTCTATTTCAACTATATAATTAGTATACTTATATTTTAAAGTGCTACAAGGCATTCAGCAATTATTCAAAAATTCTAAAAAGTGATGTAGGTTATTTTCGGAAGGTATCAGTAAAAATTGAATGACATTAGTAAATATACAAAGCTTAGCTTGGGATTGCCGTATAAGATTTCAAATATTAACTGATAATTAAATTCTTAATTGTTTTGATAATTAAATTTCTGTTGATGATCTCTGAACCAAATGTTTACATTCGTCCAATGTTTTTTAGCTTGTTTTATGGCGTCAATGTTGACAAATTCAAAAGTGATCTTATGTCAAAAAACAAAAAAGTATGCGTCTGTTTAGGGGCCGTTCACTTATGACGTCCAGGTGGGGGGGGGGGGGGGTTCAGCAAGAAAAGAACAATAGAAATTTTTGGAAATCCATTGTTCTTTATGAAAAATGACCGTTAATTTCGGACGTCATAAGTGAACGATCCCTTAATACATTTATCAGCATTTTTTATTAACTTCTGTGCTGGTCGTACAGATCAATTGTGATCCATGACCCCCCTTAGTCATCCTTTAAAACCAGCTCTATCGCTTTATTAACTACAGACATCAACTATTGAATGATTATTTTAATACATCAAATTTTATACAGGATAGTATTTATATTAAACAGGAATCTTGATATTTTTTAATGTACTAAAGGAATGTCCCATTAATCATGACTGGTGAAATTAAAATAAGTATTTTTAACTTTGGAGTCGTTCACATATTACGTCCATCAAAGATGCGATTCTTATACCCTACTACAAATTATTTATTTTATTTAAATCACCACACAGTCCACTTTTTAAAGGGAAACATATTAAGCGATTAAAAGACGAAGAAAAATTAACTAGCTCGTTATCAGCGGAAGGAATAAGGGAATGCAAATCTTTTCATGAATGAAATTTTTAATCTCAACAATACATAGAACATACAACACTATAAGTGTTATCGAAAAAAAAAAATCTTGTTTGAATAATTTTTTTTATACAAGGTTAACTAAGCTTGTGTGCATTATTTAGAATCGGGTCTTACTACAGGCAGAGCTCCCCATAATCACCTACAAAGAACCTCAAACTTAATTTACAAAATCATCACATAAAAAAAATGAGTGAGTG